TTATTTATCCTCCGCTTCCAACCCCAGTGGGATTATTTCAGTCCCACCGTTAACCTGTGGATCAGATAAAACACTTACTAAAATAGTTTTAGGGGGCCTTTTTAGGGTTTCTTTGTGTTCCCTGGAGTCATGCTGAGTAGGTGGAAATTTTCTTAATTATTCATGTTTTGTGGCTGCTTGAGACATTTTTTTCCTTAACGAGCACAGTGCTTCCAAAAGGGTAAATAGTTACTTCACAGCATTTTGCTCCAATATTTTGTCTGAGCTGACCTACCTCGTAGGAGAAAAGAGAAAGCCAAATCAGCTGAAATCACAAGTCTTCAATTAGGCAAGCCCACGTTTCAAGTCCATCGTAAGAGCTAGGGTGCGTTGAGCAATCATAGTGGGACCAGTCTTGGGCTGTTTGGGATGAAATTCTCCTCCTTTGGTGCCTCCTGGCCACACTTGAACTATTTTACATTATTATCTCTGACTTGGAAGCAAAGAACCCCACTGAGCACTCTGGGGACCTAGGATTCAAACCAGGTCTGCTCCTATTAGAAGCCAGGAGGCAGAGCTTGAGTACTTAGTTCTGTGTGATGGCTTCTTTCTTGAGCAAAACGTAGAACTTGGCGCGTGCATCGGGAAGCCTTCTGTCTCCTGCATGGGGTGCCACCGCCTGATTGTCAACGGCGGCTTAACACTTTTTGTTTGTAGAATGCATAAATGGAATGAAGGAGCTCTGTCGAGTTTAGGCTTCCCCTGGAAGCCACATTCACACCTGGAGAAGGAAGGAGCCACATTTGTACATTTCCAAGTTGTGTCCCTTCAGTGTACAAAACTCTGGTCTGAAGTTCTTGTTTTTTTTGATAAGCTCGCTCTTGTCCCCAGTTAAATAACAAAGTGCTCCTGAAGTGGCTTATTTTCTGTATTTGTTTCATTCAGGGAACAATGTGCGAAAGCTTTGGAAATAACCCATTTCATTTATAAGCTATCCTGCAGCCCACCATCGGTAATTCAAAACTATCATCCTGTATGAATTGGTATCATTATACCTTGAGAAGCTTACTGAAAAATAATATTTGTGGACCTCTGACGTGCAGCACACTGCTCTGAAAGCAAGAACAATACACCAGCCTTTGTTCTCACGGGAGATTTCCGCTCAGAATTTTTAGGCGACAAATATGTTAGACCTTTACGGGATCAATCTTATGAAAACTTAAACAGTTAATGGGCTCCGGGCTTTCCAAATGAGATTCTGGCACAAGACCTAAACTGTATGGGATCCAGAGTGCATGTTTTAGAGGAGAAAGAACACAAAGGAAATCAGAAATCTGACAGTTTCTGCACACATTGGGCCAGATATTCCACGGTTTGTACATGCACGGTGGCCTCAGCTAGATTCCCTTGTATTAATCCCAGCCCAGCTGTATAGGGCATTTAGATGAAAAAGATGAAGTCATCACTCTAGGCAATGAATGAGAAAAACTGATGGGGACAAAGTGAGTATCTTAAGACGGTCACTTGGCGTACTGGGATTTGGAGGAAATGCCCCCGGGGGAGGGGGGCATGTTGGGATGGGGAAAGATATAATGTGTACTTGAGTAGAAGGAGTCAGGGTAGTAAGTGCCACCACAGGATCACCTGGAGATGGAAAGAGCCTGCCAGGAAAATGGCAAAAAGGAGTCGTAGCTGGCTTGAACAAAGAAAACGGGTCTCCAGGAGGCTCTGAGGCCCCAGCCCTCAGCACAAATCCCGTGTTCAGTAGGTGCTTCCTAACACGTGTTGGATACGTGGGTGAGGGAGTCTTGGATGGGACATTGTACCTGAAAAGGCGCTTTTTAAAAAAGTAGCAGGCTATTTTTTGAGGAGTTTGAAGTTTACAGAAAAACTGAGCAGTAAGTATAGTTTTCATATTATCCCTTTCTTTTGCACACAGTTCCCCTTAGAATATCTTGAATTAGTGCAGTACATTTTTTGCAGTTGATGAGCCAATGCCGATGCATCGTTACCGACTAAACGTCATAGTTTACAATAGGGTTCACCGTTGGAATCCTGCGTCCTGTGGATTTGGACTGAGGTATAATGACATGTACCCACCCTCATGGTATCAGACACAATACCTTTCATTGCCCCCAAAAACCCCCTGTGCTGCCTCTTCACCGCCCTCTCCCTTCCCCGGCTGAGGCTGTGGCAACCCCACTGATCTGTTTACCACCTCCGTCTCCAAACTTTGGCCTTTTCCAGCGCATCACGTAGTTGGGGTCCTATAGTATGTACATTTCCAGATTGGCTTCTTTCACCAGACAACAGGCATTTCAAGTTCCTCCATGTCTTTTCATGGCTAGATGGCTCGTTTCTTTTTAGCGTGCGTAATATTCCATTGTCTGGTGGACTGTAGTTTATCCAGTCTCCTCCTAAAGGACATCTTGGTGGTTTCCAAGGTTTCGACAATTATAGGTAAAACTGCTGCAAGTATTTGTGTGCAGGTTTTGTGTCCATACAACTCGTCATGGATGGCACATTTAAAAAAAGTTTCTTATATGAAAGGTGAATTATATTTGAAATGGAGGTGCATGGTTGCACACCCTTTTGCAAAACACTGATTACGACACAAGGGAGTAAAGTCTTCAGTCCTCTGCTAACTGCTTGGTCTGTATTATTTCACTTAGAGACTGCTGTATGAGTCAAAAGGGGCATTTTTTCCTTCAGAGTATAAGTGGGGGTTATATCGTCTTATTTCTGCTCCCTAGTTTAACTCACTAAACTAATTACCATATTCAGAAGGATACAGCTTAAATTAGTGTTAGAGCCAAATATCCCCAAGCACACAGGTGATTTGCTTTGCTGTACCAAATAACACCTCAATCAACGTCTGCCTGATAATGATTTCTCATGGGAGACAAATCTAAAAGGGCCCTCGTGCATCTTATTCCTTGGTTCTGAGTATAGCATTTATGGATATGGTGTGGCTTCTTGGAATGTTTATTATATGAGTTAAAAAATTGAGAAGGATTGAACATACCATAGCCGGTGGCGTTGGCAATCAAATAGCAAAAATAGGTTTTGTAACAGATGACTTGGGTTTTGCTTTTGCTTCGGAAGTCATCTGTGCCACCTCTGTGCAGAGCTGACTCTGCAGCCCCTGTCCTGCTTTTCTGGACCACATGGGTGAAGGTGCAGCCCCAAAGCAGAGGGCCTGTCCCCCCCGGGGCATGACCTATGTGCCGGGTAGGATGTGCTCATACTCATTTATTATTCCTGCTGCAAGGGATGCCTGGCGTCCTTATAAAATTTCAATTGCTGTGGTTACCCTGCAGTAATGAGATGGGCCCCCCTCCCAAATCGGGTTCCCATGTCTAGACTGATGATGCCACACCTACAGCAAGAGTCTACGAAAAGGTTTATTACTCACATAATGAGGCTTTCTGGGGGTTGGGGGGGAGCAAGGTTGCGCCCAGGCTGATCTGAAAACAGCTTGAGAGCGATGGGAAAGGAGAATGATTGACCTTTCATGGTGGGAGGAGGCAGGGATTGGGTGAGACATTCAGGCAGGGACTGGCACAGCCTGAATCTCCCACAGCACTGCAGGGGGCAGCACCCGGGCTTTCTTATTGGCTCATTGGGCACAAGTCAAATAAGGACTGGTGAGGCTTAAGAGCTCTTTGCAGTCAAGCATCAAAAGTGGAGTCAGACCCTAATACCTCAACCAGAGTCGAAGTGCATGCGTTAACTTATGAAATTAAACTGGCAGCGTAGGAGTATATTGTTCTCTGTGGAGATCACAAATTGTGTTCGTCTAGTTTGACCCTCATTTACTTCTGATCTGACGACTGACGGCAACGTCCTAATCAGACCGTCCATATTTCAGCCCCTTCTGTCTTCAAGCAGCTTCCTTTTTTTTTTTCTTATGGAAAACTTAGGCATAAATAGAAGTAGACAGCAAAGTGCAGTAAACTTGCATGTGCCCCTGATGCGCATTGAACAGCCCTGAACTCATGCCTAATCTCGTTGAATCTATACCCCATCCTCCCTTCCCTTCTTCCTCTACTAATTTGAAGAAGACAGGCAGCTATGATACCATTTTATCCAGGAGTATTTCAGTAGGTGTCTCTTATTTTTCTCCCCTCATGTGTCGTTTAGTGCTCTGTGATTCTCCTGGAGTCCATCCACTTAACTATGTTAAGGTTTGCAAATCTGGCCTTTGGAATAAGGTTTAACCCTCACTTCCTGGCTCTTCAACTTCCTAACTTAGTGTGAGCTTGGGCAGGTCACTGTCCTTACAGAGTGCAGTTCCTCCCATCTGGGAAAGGAAGCCTACGCTGTTTGCTCGCAGGGTTTCAAGTGGTCTGAATAAGAGAGTGTGTGATAGTCATTTGCGGGCAGAGACTGCTCAGTAGATGGCACCTGTTACTCCTGCTGCTTTTGCCGAAACTGTGATTGTGTTGAAGCATTGCTATGTGGGTGGGGTAGTATACAGTCTTAGGTGTGGGGAGTAAGCTAAGGACAAGAAAAAGGAAAACACAAAAGGGTTCTCTCCCTCCCTCTGCCCCTTCCCCCACCCTCGCTTTCTCTCTCTCTCAAAAATAGATAAGTAAATCTTTAAAAAAAAAAAAAAGAAGAAGAAGAAGAATATTGATGGTTTGGTGTTCTGCACTGAATAAGGGAAAATGGTAGACTTCTTTGTATCTTCACAACCATTGCACCTTCCTCTAAGTGGGTCATGATCTCAGGGCCTGATTTTCCAGAATGCTTTCTCATGTCTCTGTCCAGAATCACTCCATAATGCCTAGAGTTTCAAATGATGCTCCCAGGCGACACTTGGTTCAATGACTAAACCTTCTCAGAACCTTGCCACAGGTGGGCTTTCTGATGGCATTGCATCCCCTGCTGGGATCGGTGTGGGATAGTTGCCGTGTACGGGGGCATTTCCTTCCCATCTTCAGAGAAGTCAAGAGCAGACGATCCCCTTCTTTTGTAAAGATGGAACTGTATTAAAATTGAACATTTCTCCCCTTCAGGGCAGATCTTGAATGTTCTAGATGAGTTGAAACTGGCTAACAACACCCTCGTCTACTTCACCTCGGATCAAGGAGCCCATGTGGAAGAGGTGAGCGCCAAGGGAGAAGTCCACGGAGGCAGTAACGGCATCTATAAAGGTGAGGAATCTGCCGACGTCGGTAAGCTCTGGCCTCCCAGCTCACCTGCTGGGCACCTTTGCCTTGACCTTTGAGCTTTGATGTTGTCCCTCTGCCACTTTCCAGTATACAGGACCTCACGGCGTTGCAGGCCTTGAACAGGGAAGTGACCATGTCGCCGTTTCTGTTACGGTCCCCACGGATTTCAAAAGCACACTTTCTAGGTCAGGACATTGGAATGCGGGCATGTTCACCCAGGGTAAACTCAGCCTCTCTACCGGCTAGCGGGTTAAAACAATAAAGCTGTGTATTGGTTTCCTGTTGCCACTATGACAAAATAACACAGACTTCTGGCTTAAAACAACAGTTTATTAACTTATTGTTCTGGAGGTCTGAAGTCTGAGATGGGTCTCACTGCACTAAAATCAGGGTGATAGGGGCACCTGGGTGGCTCAGTCGGTTAGGCGTCTGCCTTCGGCTCAGGTCATGGTCCCGGGGTCCTGGGATCGAGCCCCGCATCGGGCTCCCCGCTTCCCCCTCTCCCGCTCCCCCTGCTTGTGTTCCTGCTCTCGCTGTGTCTCTCTCTGTCAAATAAATAAGCAAAATCTTTAAAAATAAAATAAAATGAAACGAAATGAAATCAGGGTGGCAGCAGGGCTGTGTCATTCTGCAGGCTCTGCGGAAGCATTTGTTTTCCTGTCTTTTGCAGCTTCTGAGGCCACCTGCGTTCTCTGGCTGATGATCTCTTCTTGCAGCTTTAAAGCCAACAGGGCACAAGTCTTCGGACCTCCCTTCCTCTCTCTCTCTCTCTCTCTCTCTCTCTCTCTCTCTCTGACCTCTGTTTCCATAACATCATCTCCCTCCCTCACTTACTCTAAAAAATATGGTTCCCGAAGGACTGCTATGATTCTCCTTGTGCCACCCAATCACGCAGCTCATTTTCCCTTTTCGGGGTTCTTAATCAGATCTTCAAAGTTCTTTTGCTGTGGACGGTCGCATAGGCACCAGTTCTGGAGGATGACGACGTGCCCCTCTTTGGGAGGTGGTTGTTCTGCCGACCTCGATGTGCAGTAGCATCTCGGGCTCGTGCTTCATTCCCGACACAGCCTCAGCTAAGCCACCGCCAAGACCAATCAGGCTAGTCCTTGGGGACGTGAGATAGTCCAAAGTAGATCAGACCCAGCTGCTGACCCCAGGTTGCTTGTAGCGTGCAAACATGGTGAATACAAGACGTACGTATCTCATCGCGATAAAATGCGACCCACTCCACAGACTTAGACGACAGGCGCAAAGGGGCATATCTGTGCTAAGGGTTAGGACACCCACCCGAATCTGCGGTGGCTGTGGGTTTTTGCACCGTGGGGCAGGATGAGTGGAGGTGACCACGGTGACTCATCGTGTCCCAGGTAGTGGGGACCACCTCCCTAAGACAACAAGATGCGTAACACCCAGGAAAGCAGGTGACTGTAAAATTTCCCTAGCGTAAGGTGAAATAGTGCTCGATTGCCCTTTGATATTCTCTCATATGGATGTTTCAGAGATTCCCGGGGATGCAGGGAATCCGAGTTTACCTCCAAAGATATGAAAGGAGAATAAATAGGATGCTTTGGCCCATTAATTGGTTTAGAAATATTGATTGGGCTGTGCATCTGGCCCTGGGCCTGAGGCAAAAATAATAAAATGTGGTCTGTGCCCTGAAAGAACTCAGGGTCAGCCGGTGGTTGGGTGGGTGGGTGACTGAGTGTGTGGTAGCAGGAAGCCTAGACTGTGGGATTTAGTAAAAGCGTCAATATTAATAGGCACAAGAAATAGTGGTGCATATGACCAGGAGAGCCTCAGGAGGCCTGGGGGCCCCGGAAATGTTTGCAAAGTTGGCAAGCCTGGAAGCAGTTAGCCACGGTGCGTGCTTGCTCTCTTCTGCGTCTGGCTCTGCCAAAATACTCAATACTCTGGCGCTGGGGGTGAGAAGCGGCGCGCGGCTTGTCCTGCAACGTGAAGGAGTTGGATCGCGCTGCGTCACAGAGCAGCGAGGCAGAGAGGTGGAGAGAGGGTAGTGAGTTATCTGTCCCAAACGCGCCTACCTTATACTTCTGTTTACACCTTTGTGTGTGTGTCTGCCGTCCCCTTCGGAGCACCTCGGGGCAGGGACCTTGCTTACACGTTTGGTTCCCTGGAACCTCGGACAGAAAGATTCCTGTTGAGTGCTGGTCTGGATGACCTTCCTAGGATGTGCACGGCCCTTTCCTTCGCTTGCCGTTGTTACCTCGGCAGAGCATGGCACGCAAATGCTGTTTGACGCGGGTTGGGTGAATGACCCATCGTGTTTCCTCGGCGCAGGATTAACTAACCGTCCCCGGCAGCCCCTCTTCCGACCAGCCCTCCCTCTGTTCATCCTCTTATTTTAGTGTAGGGAGAAGTGAAAACTTGTACTCCCGTAGATTAAGATTAGGTGTATCGCCGTATTTCAGCGAGGTTATGGCCTGTGTGGAGAGAGTTGTTTTTATTTTATTTTAGAGATGACAGCGTCTCTAAGGATGGAGTGACGGGTTGTATAGCATGCAGGCGTTCAGCCTTTCATTTATTCTTCCACTGAAGGCCTGCGACGTTCCAAAGTAGGTAAGCGGCTGCCGATGAGACACATACGTAAATCACAGTAACGCAAGCGGTTACAAAGTAATACGTTTAAGATTTAAGAAAGTCACATTATGACTGCCGCCGTGAAGCACGTCGGTTCAGGGAGGTGACCAGGTGACCCCCGGCTGATGGATCTCGGGATGCGTGAGGAGCAAGAGGAGACGGGTTTAGCATTTCGCTGTGACAGTTGACTCTCGTGGAGATATCAGTGGTGTGGGTCGGAAAGAGAGCGTCAAGGGTCTCGAAGGATGGTCGCAAACCAGGGTTATCATAGACCCCTAACAGCATGTCAGGAGCTACCCCCTGATTTTCTTTTTTAAGAGAAACATTTTGGACGTGTGAGCAGTGTTTTGCTATTTTGCTTGAGTGCTAGAAATACCACCAGTGTATGACGCTGTATTAATATCTCAGCCACGACTCTGTGGCAAAGCATTATCCCTCTGTCAGATTGAGTTGGAATCAGGCTTACAGTGCAACATTGTTAAAATGCGGCTGCCCTAAAAGGAAGATGTGGTTTCCTTCCAGCGGTAGGAGATGACCAAACACCCTTCTCAATGTCACATCTCGTTTTCTAAAGCCGCCAACTCCGACATGCTCGTACACAGAGGAATCGCGCTGTTTAAACTCCCTGATCAAAAGAGCATCTTTCTCTGAACAGTTAATGATTTTTAGTCTCAATCAAAACCTCTCAGAAAGATCTTCAGTGTATGAGTGAGTTCTTCTACCATATTACCCAGTCAAATCTACTTGCCTAATGGAATCTGTGGGTGAATTGGATAGAATGGCAACAGTTAAATCATCCTTCTCCAGAATTCAACACGACCTTCCTTTTAATCATAGGGACAGAAGATCCCTGCGGTAGTCGTCATTTTTAAAAAAAAATAATGTAATATTATAGGGGTGAAGGAATAGTGACACCATTAATACTTTCTCCCATTTTTTTTTTTTTTTGAAGGAAATGTGTTTGCAGCATGAATCTCCTGTTTAGATTTAGAGAAGGGTAGACCGTGTTGGTCAAAAGGCATCAAAGGAAATTGAGAGATAGGAGTAGGGTCCAGTGTGGACTTTGAGTATGACCCTAGTGAAATTGTAGCAATCCTGGCAGTGTCTTCATCCTAACAGATCCTGTTACGTTTACTTCTGAGAATCTTCTAAATCAATTTTCCTTCCACTGTCCACGTGTTCTGAATGATTGTGTCAACCTAATAAACCTAGCCCACCAAGTCACAATCCATACCCCCACATAAGAATTCAGGAAGCATTGCCTCCATTGGTGATTTTAGTTAATCTGACAGCATTCCCATACTGAGCCGTGAGGATTTTTGCCAAAAGCAAGATAAATAAATGAACAGCAAAATGCCAGAACGTTTACATTGGCCTGTGACCACGTATAGCGGTTAAATGTAAAAACTCCAGCAGGGCTCTTAAAATATTGAAAATGTGCACATGGCTAATTTGAGAGCGGGGATTAGGAATCGGTGCTTTTAAAGGAACAGAGGATGTACGATCTCCGTGCGATCCTGAACTGTATCTGGGACGCACAGGTCATGGCTCTCCGTTTGTGTAACTGTTCCCTGGGCAGGTGTTGGGTCTGTGGTGGAGGAGTCCCCAGAAGGCTCTCTTCAGTCTGCACCCTCATCTGGACCAGGGCTCAAGGCAACAGTCCTGTAAATAGTGGTTCTCCTGTGGAAGGAGCGGCTGGCCCCGCTCTGCGTCACCTGATGTCTAAGTCAACGTTTGAAGCTCTTAGACTGCTTCTTGTAGAGATGGGTGTGAGCAAACTCTGGGAAGCTTCTGCTCAACCGTAAGTGCCGGCCCTTCCTACTCCGTTGACCTGCCTCTCAAAGGTGGGGACCTCTGGGGCTCTGTCCTGAGTCCCCTCACTTCTTTACCTACCCACTCATGCTCTATGAGCGCATCTTCCCGATTCTTCTTTGCTGCCAGTCCCCTCTCTGCCCAGGGACCTGGATGAGCTTTAATACACATGCGGTCACTGTACCGTGCTGAGTTTCCTAGGGCGGCCCCAAAGTGGATGGCTAACAAACAACAGAAAGTAGTTCTCTCTCACTTCCAGACACCAGAAGTCCTAAATCAAGGGATCAGCGGGACCATGCTCCTTCTGAAGGCTCTACTGGAGGATCCTTCCTTGCCTTCTGGTGGTCGCTGGCAATCCTTGGCTTCCCATAGCCTGTGGATGCATCACTCCAGTCTCTGTCTCCTCTGTCATCTCAGCTTTTCTTCTTTTCTTAAAACACTCCGCTATACTCCCACCCACTGAGAATGAAACGTGAGGTCTGCACCACGGCGGTACACAGCCCTACCATGACCTAGAGCTGCTTTATCTTCCTCGGCCCTGTCTGCTCTTTTCTGGGGTCCCCCAGCATTTT